TTTATTTTACCTGCTTTCTCTTTGATTTTTTCTTTTCCTGCATTTTTACACTTTTATTTTCCTCCTTTATTTTTCTCTTTCATTTATTTTTTTCTTTTCTGCCATATTGTCGTACTTATTTTTTTCTTTCTCTTTTTCTATTTTTTCTTTTTCCTTTGTTTCTTCCTCATTGCTTTTTTTCTTTCTTTTTTTTTCGCTTTTTACCTTTTTCCTTACCCTCTTGATTTTCTTTTTTGTCGTTTTCATTTCCTTCTCTTTTTTCCTTTCTTTCTTCCTTCCTTTCAAGTATCTTTATGTTACTTCGACATTGCTTCCATTTAATACTCTTTCTTTCTGTTATGGTGCACTCCTTCTAATGAGACTATTGTGGACTCTTCCACTTACTATAAAGTTAGTAGGGAAAGCATGCTTCGGGAGAACAGTGATATCGACAGAACGTTGGTCAACCGACACACGCTCCCAAGTCGTGTAACACGCTTCTGTTTTATTTACTGTCCAATACATTATTTATCTCCCACCTCTTGTTTTGTTATTCCTTAACCAATTACTTGGTCACAACACTTTTCTATAAGTTCTTTAATGCTAAACTTTTCTGATGAATTTTCCTCTACGGTACCAAGACTTTATGAATTTAAAGTCAGTTCTAGATTGGCGGCAACGTCTCATCATTTTAAAATTGAAATGGCGAGATGTATCTATAAATTCTATGCTAGACAGTTTTCTCTCACGTACTTGTAGGGAAATCGCTTCCGGGTTCTTGCTTTTCATTCAGCTTCGGTATTCAAAAATCTAAATGCAATATCAATCGTTATGTTCTGTCTTTTTAACTCATGTCCTTTTATTGTTCTCACTCCTTCATAATTTCAACCACCAAAAGTCAGCAATGCCATTTGTATTGTCCTGGCATTTCGGCTTCAACCCCATTCTCTAAACGCCGTAGCGCATCTCCTCGGTGCCTCTTTGTTGTGGTGTTCTCCCTCTAATGAATCTATTGTGGACTCTTCCACTTACTATAAAGTTAGTAGGAAAAGTAAGCCTCGGGGGGAACGGTCATATAGACTGAATGCTGGTCAACCGACACACATTCCCATCATCATGCGGCCTCACCAATACTTTAATTGGTGTAATTCACAATCTTGTCAAATAGCTGAATACTTGATTATTGGCTAGGCTATCAAGGGTGTTTTTATCGTGACACCAACACTAAATGGATTGCCAAACAAGGCTCAGAGAGACTCCATTCATCCTCCTCTAAGATCAAACTTGAATTCAGAGTTTTCCTTCTCCTAGACTAGTTGCCATCCAAGGCTATAGAACCCAGTCTGTCCTGTCCACACTACTGTTGTATTTACTGTTGAATACGCTATTTATCTTCAACTTCTTGTTTTGTTATTACTTAACCAATTACTTGGTCACAACATTTTCATTTCCTTAAAGTATCATGTGTTTCTTCAAGAATTTTTGAATGCCAATCTCCTAACAACAACAAAAATAACAACAACAAAAAACAACAATAACAATAATAATAATAATAATAATAATAATAATAATAATAATGCTTGCTAACTAGAAATTACCAAGCAAACACATTGAAAAGTAGTGCTAACCCAAAATGCAGATTCTGTAATGCATATCCAGAAACAATTGACCATCTTGAATCAAGTTGAACGTTGTTAGCACCAACTGAATGTAAAACTCGACATGATAGATTGGGCCAATATCTGCACTCAACGGGAAGGAAACTACAAGAAAATGGTACGAACATCACCCAGACCCGGTTACAGAGATAGGACCTGTAATAATTTTATATGAACTTTTCAATACACCCAGACAGAGCAATCAAAGCTTATCGCCCAGACATTGTAATCAGGGGTCACAAGAACACAATGTGCTTTCTTATTGAAATGGTAGTTCTTTCAAATTCTAATGTGTCTTTGATGATCTTCAAAAATCTATAAAAAATAAAAGGATCTTGATGTGAAAATCTAAAAATGTGGCACATGAGGACATCAACAATTCCAGTTTTAGTTGGGGCCCTCCGATTGATTGGAAAAGGGTCCGATAGACTCCGTGACAGGATCCATGCTAGCCCATGTTTTAAAGAAATACCAAAATTAGCACTCACAAACACAACACACACATTACGAAGAGCTTTATCCATGAAAAATATGCGACCTTAGAATGTTTTTCCAAAAATCTTCAGTAGAAAATATCATGAAGCCATTTCTGACCTTAGGTCCTTGGTTGGAACCCTGGAGGAAATGTGTATACAACAAAAATCAAATGAAATAATAATAATAATAATAATAATAATAATAATAATAATAATAATAGGGATCTTGAAGTGGAAATCTAAAAAACATAACACATGAGGACATCCATAATTCCATTTGTAGTTGGAGCCCTCGGATTAATTGGAAAAAGGTTCCGATAGTGTCATTGAAGGGATTCCTGGTAGCTTTAAAGAAATACAAAACTATTGTACTCACAAATACAGTGCACACGTTCCGAAGAGATTTATCTATGTAAAATGTGTGCCTTTTTCTTTAATGGTTTGTGGAAAATGTCATGAAACCATTTCTGATATTAGGTTCCTGATTGGGACCCTGAAGGAGATGTTTATACAACAGAAATCAAATGAAATAATAATAATAATAATAATTAGAAGAAGAAGAAGAAGAAGAAGAAGAAGTAGAAGAAGAAGAAGAAGACTTTGAGGCTACGACAATCATGGCTTTTGTGGCTTCTGATCTTAATTGATTTGGAACATTGCATGTTTTTGTGAGTTTTTTTACAAAAATCTTCAGTGGAAAATGTCATGAAATAATTTCTGACCTTAGGTTCCTGGTTGGGACCCGGAAGCAAATATGTATACAACAGAAATGAAATAATAATAATAAAAATAATAATAATAATAATAATAAATAGAAGAAGAACAAAAAATACTTTGAGGCTCCAACAAACACGGCTCTTGTGGCTTCTGATCTTGCTTGATAGCATTTCTTAACTTATGTCACTGGTTGGGATCTGGAAGGAAATAGTTATTCAAAAGAAATAATAATACTAATAATATTGCTACTACTAATAAAAATAACAATGATAACAATGGATTGAGCTGTTCTCACTTACGTGCTAATACCCTTGGGAAAGGTATGAATCCACTTCTTCTCCCCTCACCGGTGGGTAAATGGCAGGACAGATCGGGTTCTATAGCCTTGGATGGCTACTGGTCTTCCGCCGAAAGAAATGGCAACCTACTGCGGGAAAAATATGCCTCGTCAGTCATGTATCGATAGATACATAATCACCTAAGCGTGTATCACGCATGGTACATAACTCATTGGTGTACTAAATATAGATTTAAAGTGTAAAGATAGATAAGTATCTAGAACCACTCCCAAAACCGAGTAGGTTTAATAATGTCAATGTGACCGCCGTACAGTTTCCTGGGAATAAAACTGTGAAAACTAAAAATTATGCAAAAATGTTAGAATTGCCCAAAAGCCATATTTTTTTTTTTTAAATTACTCGAATACTGTGAAAACTGTTATTGCAGTGACGATCCTTGATGTTATCTAAGTGGAGAAACACTCAACGAGAAAAGAAGTTGTTCTTACTAAATGAACCAATAAAGGGTACGATGTACAGAAACGGAGAAGTTCGGATCCGTCGAGAGTGAAAGACATACCATTGCCTCCAAATACTAGAAACTAAATCTCTTATACGTTGAATTACTGAACGTCTATTTAATATCTGCGAACGTTGAGTGCTTTTGAGGCCTTCTCCTTTGTTTTCCCGAAAAAGCACAATAAAAAGCTCCACTAGTATCTCTTGGGTAGGCATTTGTATATTTACCTCTATTAAGATTTTTTTCCAAGTGTATACAATCTAAATGTAGGTGAGTCTCCTATGTCTTTACCCATCAGGTGGATCTGTATCCAAATAGCAGGTGGATACACCTGGTCTTTTTTATTGTCTGGTGTGAGTTTGACTCTATTGTTTTTACTGGTTCTGTCGGAGTTCAACGCAGTTTATATTGATGACATCGGAGATCAATCTTACCCAGTACAATTTTTTCCTCCTTGATATTAAATTCAGTTCAGAAAAAATATAACAGTAATATTTGTCATAGTATTTCTAATAAAAAAGAAGGACTTACTTACTTACTTACTTACTTACTTACTTACTTTCTTTCTTTCTTTCTTTCTTCTTGTGAGAATTGACTGATATAAAATATTGCTTAAGCATGGTTCCCTGGCTATTTTGAGTTCAATCTCTAGGTTTGGCAGTGCTAAAAAGTCACATACTTTAGTTCACTGGAAGAAATGAACAAATAATACAAAGGTAAATAAAATTGGGTAGTGATATGAAATATTTATTTAGCGTGGTGTCCTGGCTGTAGGCGATCATAACTCTCCATAACTTATGTTTCTTTGTATCTCTTAATAAATTGTTTGTTTTGCTTACTTCTCCTAAAACCTGTTCCGCCATCCATTTATTCATCCTCACTAAGTATCTTATGCGCCATTTTCATCTGTATGTCTTGCCTTGAATCAGTCCTGTGAGCATCAGATTATCTTAGCCCACTTCCTTGATTAAGTGCCCTAGAAAACTCAACTGTTTCTTCCTGGTGTTAAGTATAAATTTCTTTTTTGTTTCCATTTTGTCTGTAGAACCAGATTTCTGTGGCATCAACTGTCTTCTTCGTCTTTAAGGAGATTGTTCAGGACACACAGCCATACAGGAGGACAGATGAAACGTAATATTCAGTACTCTTTTTCTTTGTTTCTAACGATGGTTTTTTTTTTCTATTCCTTAATACTCTACTTAGCTTTTGGAAGGCATTTTTCGCCATCCCAATACGCTTTCGGATTCCAGTGTCACACTTTCCTTCTTCTGTTAAAGCATATCCCAGATATTTAAATTTCTGTTCTTGTTTGATTTGGATAAATCCGATTTGCAGTACGCACTTTGGGCTCAACGTTTCTGTTATATAGGAATAAAGTCACATTGCCGACACATGTGTTTGAACATAGATCGCCAGTGAGCAAACACAGACGATCGCATTACTGAATTAAGTAGACCACGTGACTATAGAGGAAATGCATATATGGAAGGTAACTTGACGACTAACGATTGCCATTTCTAGTCTATCCTCTATTACTATTCGGAACACCATTTCTAGCATTAATATACGGACCGCTATTCTATATAATTCACTATA